TCTATCTATCTATCTATCTATCTATCTATCTATCTATCTATCTATCTATCTTATATATCTATCTATGGCTGATCTTGAATTCACTGTGTAGGCCAGGCTGCCTAGTTGAAGTTTTCTGACATAGCCTCCCAAATACTCCAGATTACAGACTTCCATCACCCACTATGCCTAAGTTTTCTTTGTAGAATTTGATTACTTAGATTCTCTAGCAGTGCTTTTTTCCTCAGAAAGTTTGTAAACTGTTGATTTGTCCATTTTCCCTTTTCTGCCACTTTTGCTTTCTTTGAGGGTACAGTCAATAGAAATGTGGAGCTGTCATCTAATTAGGATTCTTTTCATTAGTGTATGCATGCTACATCTTTCCCACTCTTTATTTCAGTCTTTCCATAACCTATGTTTTACACACATACCACACACACACACATACCACACTCTCCCTCTCCCTCTCCCCTCCCCCTCCCCCTTCCCCTCCCCCTCCTTTTCCCTCTCCCTCTCCCCCTCCCTACCTCCCTCTTCCTCTCCCTCTCCCCCTCCCTACCTCCCTCTCCCTCTTTCCCTCCCTCCCCCTCTCTCTCTCTCTTTCTGCTTTTGTTTTCTGGTCTGATACTTTTCCATATACAAGGGCAGTTAGTACATTTGTACCATATGTTATTTGGAGCTTACACATACCCATCTTGCTATTTGCTCTCTTCTTGCCTCATCTGTCCTGTGTGTCTTCCTTATTGCACTTGTATACTGCCTTTTTTTTTTTTTTTTTACTGACTTCTGTATTAGTTGTTTTTCTCATTGTTGTGACAAAATAACCTGGAAAAAGCAACTTAGAAAGAGTTTATTATGGTTTATTATGATATAGACCTCAAACTATGTGCTGGGGAGGGGCCATGGCAAGGAAGGCCTGGTGGCAGAGGTAGGGGCAGCTACTCATGCTGTATCCATAGTCAGGAAGCAGGGAGAGGGTAATGCCAGTGTTCAGCTCAGGTTCTTCTTTTATTAGTGCAGAATCCCAGCCTGTGAGGTTGTACCACTCATGTTTGGGGTGGGTCTTTTATCTTTAGTTAAACCTTTCTGGAAACACCCTCTTTGATACACTCAGAGGTTTGTCTCCTTGGTGACTCTGAATTCACTCAATTTTATAAGTAAGATTAGCTTCTTAGTTACATATTCCTCATCAGGTGTATATTCTTTTACTAGACTGATATTTTATCTCTCCTATTCACTGTTTGTTTGTCCTTGTCTTTGTAGAAAGCTGTTTTCTGTTAGTTGGGGAATTTAATAAAGAATTAAACTCACTCAGTAAGGAGGAAAATATCTTTATGTGAAAAAAGAAAGAACTACAGAACATTGTATACCATGCCTAAAAAATAGCAAGGCTAGAATAAATGTTTTAGCTTCTTTGTGCATAAAGGAACTGAAGTTCTATATATAGGAGCTAATCACAGTGCCTCCCTGTTAGTCAGTGATGAGAAACTAAAGGGGTGTACCATGCTTTTTGTAAACCTTTAACATTTTTTGAACCAGTATGTTCTCCCCAATCAAAAATTACATTAGGGGCTTAATGCCAGTGCTGAGGATGCAGAGATGTATCTCTGTGAGTTTGAGGTCTGCCTGGTTAACATAGTGAGTTCCAGGAGAGCCAAGGATAACATAGGAAACTCAGTCTCAAAACACCACTACCAACAACAACAACAAAATCAGATTAAGGGCATGGATGTAACTCATTAGCTAAAGCACTTTCCTGGCACAGCTGAGTCCATGGGTTGTATCTCTGGCAATGTTAAAAACATACAAACAAAAAATATTAGAAACCAGGCATGGTGTCATAATCATGGTGTCTATAATCCTGGCATTCATAAAGTTCAGGCAGGATGATCATTGAGTTCAAAGCTAGCCTGAGCTACTTAATTAAGATCCTGTCTCTAAAACAAAAAAGGGCAAGTGATGTTGTTCAGTGATAAGAGTATTTCACTAGTACATCCAAGTTCCTAGATATTTGTTCACAAATAAGTCAAAATTAACTTGAGTTCTGTCTCCAGCATCAAATAAGTAAAAAATAATCAGAAAATAAAGTTCTTTCCTATTATATTTTGAGGGATACAATAGAGTATTCCTTGATGGCTATATGTCATATTTTAAAGTTTTAAGTGGTATAGATGTAATCATGTAAAGATATTTCTGTTACATATACCAGATCCTTATTTTTTATCTATATTGTTTGTAATTTTCTAAATGTCATATAAACACACACTATAATAGCTTCTTTTATTTAATTTCAGTTTTATCTTATAAGTGTGGTTGTTTAATGTCTGTGAATGGCTGTGCTCTACTTGTGGCCAGTAGAGGGTGTCAGATTCCTTGGGACTGGAGTTGTTACAACTCACTCGTTGTGAGCTACCATGTTAATTATAAGAATCAAAACCATGTCCTCTGGAAGAGCAGCAAATGCTCTTAACCACTGAGCAGTTCCTCCATCCTGTTATTCGTTCTATCTTGATAATAAACTAATTAATGAAAACCCCAGTTACTTTGTCTTTTGAGAAAGTTATACTAGTACTCTTTTGGAGGGGAGAGGGATGTCATGGGTATGAGACAGGCTCTCCCTAGATAGCCCAAGTAGGCCTTGAACTTTGATTCTCTTGGCTCCTCCTTCCAGGTGCTGGAATTATAGGTATGTACCATCCCACCTGGAATAATTTCTTGCTTTACCAGTGGTCTAGAACCTATTTGGTATTCTGATGAAAGAAAGCTGAATCTTAGAGCATTTAATATTTTATACCTTTGATTTGTATAGTTAATTCATTGTTTTGCCATCCTTAAGTTTAAGAATGCTACCTATATAAAGTAAAATAATTTGGGGGCTGGAGAGACAGATGCCTTAGTGGTTAAGAACTAGACTGGAGTAAAGGTCTCAAGCACCTACATTAGGCAGTTTAGAGTCTTCTGTAACTCCAGCTCCACAGGCTTCAACACACCCTCTTTGGGACTCCATGGGAACCTGCTTTTATGTGTGCATATTCATATGCAAATACACACATACACATATAATTTAACAGTTTTTAAAAAGAAATAAATAGATCCGGGCAGTTGGTGGCTCATGACACTTAGACAGAGGCAAGGTGAATCTCTGAGTTTGGGGACAACTTGGTCTACAGAACGAGTTCCAGGACAGGCATGGCTACACAGAGAAACCCTGTCTCAAAGAGAGAGTGAGAGAGGGGGTGCGGGGGAAGAACTGGTTTGTGAGTTGTTATTTTTCAGATAGGGTAATATAGCCTAGACTACCCTTAAATTCATACATAGCTGTGGCTGGCCTTGAACCTCATCTTCTGAGTCCTAGGAATGGAGGCATGTTTCACCCACTGTACCTAGTGAGATAACTCTTTTTTATAGAATTAAGTTCCTCCTCTTCTTCCCCATCTTTGCATGTTCTGCCCCTCCCCCTGACAGAGACAGAGACAGGGGTCTCATTGTGTGGCCTGGAACTCACAGAGATTCTCTTACTTCTGCCTCCCCAGTACTGGCAAGTGCCACTATGCCCTGACAGAATTTAATTTCTTCGAAGACATGTATAGTTGTAAAAACTATATTACATGTTTTAGGTAAAATTTGCCTTGTGCTTGAATGGTAATTATGCCATTGGATTGCTCATATCTTACTCTATACAAGCATGACGACTTGCTGCTTTGTTATATTTTGTTTTGGATATGGTATGAATTCAGGCTTTTTTTTTTTAACCAAAGAAAATGTTAACTTTGTTTTCTTTCTGTAGGTTTGAGAAATTTCTGTGGTTCATTAGTTCAGAGAACTATCTAATTATAGGTGGTCGGGATCAGCAGCAGAACGAGATTATTGTAAAAAGATACTTAACACCAGGTGAGATTAAAATTGTGTGAAATTTTCTCTTCAATGACTTTTCAGTTGTTTCACTAATAGGCACTGGTTTTTATCTTATACTCTTGTTTGACAATTAATTAGAGATATAACACTTTATGGCTTAACATTTTGTTGAAGTCTTTGTCACTTTTTGTTAAGTGGGTATTGCAAAAGTAGTATTGCCAAGCTAATCTGTTTTGTTGGACCTTTGATCTTCTGCTATATTTACAAAATAGTTTCCAGTTCTTTAAGTCATGGTGGGTCACATTTTTTAAAGGTTGGTGTTTCATTGCTAAAATTTGTGACCATTTTTCCAGTTTATAAATAGGACTTCAAGCTAAGTGTATAATGCATGCCTATAGTTGCAGCCGCTAAAGAGGCTAAGTCTAGAGGACCACTTGATCCCAGAAGTTCCAGAATAACCTAAGTAGCATAAAAGAAAAAGAAAGGAAGCAGGCTGGAGAGATGGCTGAGCAGTTAAGAGTACTTGTGTCTCTTGCAACTGACCTGAGTGTAGTTCCCAGCATTTATATTTGGTTCACAACAACCTGTAACCAGAGTTCTAGAGGGTCTAGTACCTGTTTCTTCCTTCTGTGGGCACTGCATACAGGTGCTTCATTTACATATATGCAGACAGAACATTCATATGCATAAAATATTAAAGTAAAAAATTTGGAAGAAAGCAAAACAAAACAAAAAAAAAGAAATAGGACTTAAAGTGTCATTCTTTCACATTTGTTTTATTTAAGGAGACATTTATGTGCATGCTGATCTTCATGGAGCTACCAGCTGCGTGATTAAGAACCCAACAGGTAATATGTTTTCATTGTTTGTAATTTTCTTTTTTAATATATTTCATTTTCGCATGCATGTGTCTATGGGAATGTGCACATGTAATCCATGCAGTGTCCAATGAGAATCTGAAGAAAAGAAGAAAGTGTTTGAATCCTCTGGGAGTAGAGTCAGGGATTGGGCTCTGGGATTGACCTGAGGTCCTCTGCCAGTGCAGTGTGCATTCTTTACTGCTGAGCCATCTCTCTGGCCTCCAGAAAGCATTCTTTTTTGCTTCTTTTTTTTTTTTTTAAAGAATTATTTATTTTATGTTTATGGGTGCACTGTAGCTGTCTTCAGACACATCAGAAGAGTGCATTGAATCCCATTACAGATGGTTGTGAGCCACCATGTGGTTGCCAGGAATTGAACTCAGGACTTTTGGAAGAGCAGTCAGGGTCTTAACCGCCAAGCCATCTCTCCAACCCCTGAAAGTATTCTTAATGTAACTGATAATCAAGAATTAGTAGTCGGCCTCCAGTACTGCCAACAACAAAAAAGAGATGAAAAAAGATGTAATGATACAAGAATATTGCATGAATGTAAGAGTCATAACATATGTGTCCAGCAGTTGTGTCCTATAATATATGAGGACAAACCAGACAGTAATGGAATTAGGTAGATACAAGTACATACAGTAATATTTTGAAATGTTAACACTGAACATGAATAATTAAAACAGTAAATTAACAAGGAAATAGAAAACTTGAACACATGATAACTAAACCTAACAGTATCTCTAGAACACTGCCTAACAAGTATACAGAGAACATTCTCAGTATAGATTTAATGATAGAAGAAATAGAAAATTGAAATAAATCCATAACAAATAAAGAGACTGAGTTAGGTAATAAAAACACTTTATAAATCCCAGCTGGGTAGTAATGGTGCACATATTTAATCCAGTACTCGGGAGGGAAAGGCAGTTGGATATCTGTGAGTTCGAGGCCAGCCTGGTCTACAGAGGAAGTTTCAGGACAGCTAAGGCTACACAGAGCAGAGAGACCCTGTATGGAAAACAACCAAAAACAAAACCAAAAAGAAAAAAAAAAAGAAAAGAAAAAAGAAAGGAAGGAAAAGAAAATCCTAGACTCAAAAAATGCACATATGTAATCTGAGCACTCTGGAGCCTGAGGCAGAAGGATAACCAAATTTCAGGCCAGCCTAGACTATGTAGTGACGTCTTTGGTCTTAAAAATAACTCATTTGATGTGGGAGGGTCCAGCCTGCTGTGGGTAGGGACAGGATAACCCTGGTCTGGTAGCCCTTGGTGCTATAAGAAAGCAGGCTGAATAAGCCATGATGAGCAAGCCAGTAAGCAGCACTCCATGGCCTCTGCATCAGCTCTGCCTTCAGGTTTCTACCTGTTTGAGTTTCTTTCTTGGCTTCCCTCAATGTACTAGATATGTAAACCAAATAAACCCTTTCCTCCTCAAAGTTGCTCTTTTTGGTTGTAGTGTTTTATCACAGCAATAGAAATAGAAACCCAAACTAAGACAGTAATAAAATGAAATTCAAGATGCTATAATTGACAAGAAGTAAAAATAATATATATATTCATATATCAATATATGTATGTGTGTTGTTTGGTGTAGGCATGTGTGTGTATGGATGTGAGTGTGTGTGTTTGTTTTTTGTTTTTGTTTGTTTTTTGTTTTTGGAGACAGGGTCTCTGTATAGCTCTGGCTGACCTGGAACTCACACCAGGCCAGCCTCAAATTCTCAGAGATCCACTTGCCTCTCCTCCTGAGTGCTGATACAAAAGGTGTTTATCTGAACTTGTCAAAATAAGGACAGAAGTATCTTAATGATTCCAGGTAGCCAAGTTTGGGAAGGAAGTAGGAGTGTTACTAATACATAGAAGGTTGCTTTGCGGGGGGGGGGCGGGGCGCGATAGAAATGCTTTGGAATTATATATGCAGTAATAGTCACACTTCATTATCTCATGTGTACATGAGAACACACACAAGTATAAAAAATAAAATTTAAAAGATTTGGTTTTGGTCTCTTAACACCACAACAGCATGTAGGTAGGTAGATAGGTAAATAGAATCTTGAAATGAAATGTGGTATCATTGTTACACTATCTTTGTTATTCAAAGTTACACTCAATATAACTTTGACATCTTGCTCTGTAGACACCCTATACATTGGTATTGAAACGTGCCATTGCTGTTAACAGGAGAACCCATCCCTCCACGGACTTTGACTGAAGCAGGCACAATGGCACTTTGCTACAGTGCTGCCTGGGATGCACGTGTTATCACTAGTGCTTGGTGGGTGTACCATCATCAGGTAATAAGGGCTGTGGTCCATTTTCTTGAACTCTTAAGAGCTATACCTGATTATCAATGGCTAGGATATAGAAAGTAGGCAAAGAACCTGCCTTGATAAGGCTTATGTTTAAGCAGTAGGTAAAAATGTCTGCATACTAGGTGGGAAGTGCTGTGAAGAAGAAAACAAAACAGTTTTTGTTGTTGTTTTTAGCAAGGTCTCACTGTGTAGCTTTGACTGGCTTGGAACTTGCTATGTAGACCAGTCTGGTCACAAAGATTCGCTTGTCTCTGTCTTAGGAGTGTTTAGATTAAAGGTGTGCACACCATATAATCTGCTACTGGGGGTGGGGGGCATTTATTTATTTATTTAGGTTTTTCAAGACAAAAATTTTCTATGTGTCCTTGGCTGTTTTTGAACTCACTTTGTAGACCAGGCTGGCCTCAAATTCAGAGATCCGCCTGCCTCTGCCTCCTGAGTGCTGGGATTAAAGGTATATGTACCACCACCAAAAATTTTAAAGCAAACAATGGAATAGAGTCAGAGAAGCTACCATGTTGGATAAAATAACAGGTATTGGTAAGATTTGAATAAAGAGCCAAATGATGAAGATGGCCTATGGAGTTCTGCTAGGTAGAGAATGATCTACTAGTGACTGAAATGTTGAACTAAAAAAACATTTTTCCTATTCATCTTGGTTAGAAGTTTCTGAATTCTCTTTCATCTTTCCAGAAAACAGGCAAAACGTGTGTTTTATGTGTTCACTTGGTTTTAGTAATTGCCCTTCTTTATGTTTAATGCTGTTTTGTTTTTGTCATACTGGAGATTGCATTTAGAGACCTGCATTCTGAGCAAGTGCCCTTGGCCCATTGCTGCTGTTGTTGTTGTTGTTGTTGTGAGATGTAAGTTTTTCTAGCTGATATTGAACTCACTTTATACCCCACACAGAACTTGAACTCTCAGTTCTCTTACCTGTCATCTAGGTCCCGGGGACTACAGGCCTGTGCCACCAAGTCCAACTGTTAGTGACCTTTGATAATTAATCCACTTTGTATTTGACTTCCCACTGCAAGTAGATCCACATTTTCAAGAATTATAGCTAGTAATGATGCATTAATTCTACAAAAAAAAATCAATTTCATTATCATCCTTGAGATTTGTTTCATTTTTTGTTATTTATATTATTTGTTTTTCTGTGATGTGGTTTTAGGAAATTAATAATATTTGAAAGATAATACTTTATACCTCTACTATTAATTAAAGTGGTTTTCTGTTTAGAACTAAAAAGATACTCTAAAATTTAGAATAATTATAAATGTGTAAAATCTTTGGAATAAGCTTTACTTTGTCTTATCAACTATATTTTTTAAAGTTCTGTTATCTTTATTTCCTAGGAAAAGCTGTTTTAGCGGCTGGGGATATGGCTCATAAAAGCCCTTGTCATCAAGCCTAATGACCTGAAATCAGTCCCTAAATAGTGGAACTAAATAGTGGGAGAGGGAACCAACTCCTTGCGAGCTGTCTTCTCATCTCCACAGCATATATAGGAGTGTATACACACACACACACACACACACACACACACGCGCGCGCGCATATTAAATTATTGAAATTGGGGGCTGGGGAAATGATGGCTCAACTGTTGAAGAGTATGTATTGCTTTTTTAGAGAACCTAAGTTTTATTTCTAGCACCTTGATTACAGCTCCCTGTAAGTCCAGCTCCAGGGGATCCAGCACCTTCTTCTAAACACAATAGACACCTACACTCACATGCACATTAATCACACACAACCACACATAGATAGACATTATTTAAAATCTTCAAAGCTGAGAGGTAGTGGCAGAGAACCTTTAGTCCCAGCACTTGGGAGGCAGAGGCAGACTGATCTCTAAATTCAAGGACAGCTAGGGCTACACAGAGAAACTTACCTTGGAAAAGAAAAATCTTTCAAAATATCTTTAAGGAAAAGAAAAGCTATTTTACTATCAAAAAGAGTTACTTGCTTGTTATTATTTCCTTCACTTGGGTAGAAAAAAATCTTTTTGAAAGTGTCTTAAGAGACTGAAGATGTAGTTCATTTGGGTAGAGTACCTTCCTGGCATGCATGGTCGGGCAATGTTGTAATCCAAGTACTCAAGAAGTGGACAGATTAAAAGTTCAAGGTCATCCTCGGTTATATAGCAAGTTCAAGGTCAACCTGTAATATCTGAGAGCCTCTCTTAGTTTTTTTTTTTTTTATAGATAAGAATATAATGCATTATTGTGTTCCTCAGGTATCTAAAACAGCACCAACAGGAGAATATTTAACAACAGGAAGCTTCATGATAAGAGGTAACAGCTTAACATGATAAATACCCCTAAATTGGATTATGGAGGCAAGAGCCATTTTAAAGATATTCATGGGGTGGAAGTGGTTTGCTGTAATTGCACATATAAATTTTGTTATGAAATAAGGGAACTTTTGCCTTTGCATGGCAAATTCAGCATTTATTAATGAGAATGTATTTCACATAGTTTAATTATAATAAGAATTATAGCCTGACTTTCTTAAAATAAAAAATAGATTATTATGGTTCTGACAAACCCAATATGGGAAGCAAGCATTCATACTTTTTCTTGATAATTATTCCTACATAATATTAAATTTTGTTAATGTTCATGTTATAGTACAAGGTAAAATAGGCATAGCATATTTTCAGACCAAAAACTGGAAAGAACAGATTTGTATAATCATTAATGTGTATTATCTTTTTAGGAAAAAAGAATTTTCTTCCTCCTTCATACCTAATGATGGGGTTTAGCTTCCTTTTTAAGGTACTCTTTATTTTCTTTAGGCTTCCTTTTATACCCTTCCTAAGGTCCCAGCAGTGAGGAAGGACTTTTTCTCTAGGTAGATGAGTCTTGTGTCTGGAGACATCGAGGTGAACGAAAAGTCAGAGTGCAGGATGAAGACATGGAAACACTGACAAGCTGCACAAGTGAACTCATGTCAGAAGAAATGGAACAACTAGGTAGTTGATGTGTTATAATAAATTGGCTTGTGATGTGTGTGTGTGTTCATGTGCTCATGTGTATGGAAGCCAAAGGATGGTAACAGGTGTTTGTTGGGCACTGTGTACTTCTCTCTGGAGACTGGGTTTTATACTTACTGGTCTGGAGTTTGCTGATTAGGCCAGGCTGGCCGGCCAGAGGAGCCTCTCTCCTCCCCAGCTGTATTAGGATTACAGGTGCACACCACCACACCTGTTGTGTTGTTGACTCCCCACAGGCTTTCTGTGGATTCAGCTCAGATTCTTGTGCCTGAAAGGCAAGCACTTTACCAACTAAATTTTTATCTTCCCAGCCAGGCTTAAGACTTTGTTTTTCTCTTGAGGCAAGCAAGATATCACTATGTAACTCTGGCCTGCCTGGGACTTGTCATATGGATCAGGCTGCCATTGAACTTGCATCAATCCTTCTGTCTTTGTCTTTCAGGGGCTAGCTGGTATTACAGAAATTCACCATCATATCTAGCCATGGCTTGTAGTTTTTACTCACTAGTTTTATTTTTAAATCTTAAGTCTCTTCTGTGATATCCAGAATTTAACATAGCCCAAAGTACTACCAATTTCTGGAAAATGAAATATGCTTTTATATATATATACATACACACACATATATATACATATATACATATATACATATATACATATACATATACATATACATATACATATACATATACATATATACACACACACACACACACTAAGGGTTGAAAAAAATTTTTAAGGAATTAAAAATAGTTAAATTTGTAATCAAAGTACTTTTGGTAAAATTTGAGCATTTAATGGATAGCTTATAAATATATGTAACAAGTAAACTTGAGTACATATGAATTAACATTTCCATTTGGATTTAGGAGTTAGCAATGATAGGAAGATGATTTCATATGAAGTGTAATTTCTCACATGAAAATTTTGGTTCAGGCCAGGCTTTTGATTCATCCTGACTCAGTTTTCAAATACTGATATTACAAATATAAGCCAGTGTGCCCAGTTTTGGTTGATTTTTTGTAATATATTTAAGTACAGAGATACTGTGATTGCCAAAATTAATTCTTTCTTCTAGGATCATTCCTTTTTGGAACTGCGTTGTGTTGCGTAATTTAAAACTGATGTGTTGTTAGATTCTATTGATTGATGCATGCCATGTCCCTGTCATAAAGTAATATATATTATTTAATTTCATGACAGTTCTTGAAAGTGGCAATTGGACCTAGTTATTAATATTAGTATTCCTTTTGCCTAAGTATAAAACTAGTTGTATAATGTATATTGGTTTACATTTACAAATTAATAAAGTTACAGAGCTTACACAACTACTTTTATTGTCTTGCCTTTTGGAAGTAGTAGTGACAGACAGCTTAGGTTTGTTACAGAAATAGTTGCAATGTCCAAAAATTTTGTGGTAAAATGATCTTGGCGGTCATGTAAGGGCTATCTTTTGTCAGAATAGATTCAGTACATTGTGGAAATGCTCAGGGATTCTTTGATGCCTCTGTGGGGAACCTAGGAGTGACTGGAATCACACAGCCCTATTGGGAGGTGCACACTGACTTTCCTTATGGGAATTCTACAGAAGGGGGCGACAGCAGTGAAGAAGAGACTGAGGAGTTACATGGAACTCCTGGAGAAGTAGAACTTATGACTCAGGTTGATCAAGAGGACATTGCTGCTCACAGTGGGAGAGATGAACTAAGCTCTGATGATGGAGAAGCCAAAGCAGTTACAAAAGATCAGGAGCCCATTGGTAAAATGAAGGAAGAGGAGGAAGATACCTTCGAATATCCTGATACTACCATTGACTTGTCCCATCTTCAGTCCCAAAGGTAAATTTAAAGGGAATTTTTAATTTTATTTATAAACTGCAGATGATGTTGAGGCAATCCTTATAAAACAGTGCACTGAGATTGATCTCACTACATTCACTCACTCTTCATGTATTCCTCAGGGTTAGTCAGGGACTTTACCCTTCTTTGTGGTCTTGTTTTTTCAGCATTTGATTGGTTTCCTGCTAGAAATTCCTAGGACCAAAGTTGAAAAGTACATAAAGTAGCCAAAAGTAGGTCAAACTAGAAACAGTAGGTTCTAGGGATGTGAATCAGTGGTAGAGTTTGCTTTGCATGCTTAAAAGCTGGGTTTAAACCTCAGCATTGCAGAAACAAATTACGAAATATTCAGGAAAATAAAATATTAAGGAAAGTATTCCAAACTCAGAAAAACAAAAACCTAACCTCTAATGTGTATAGAAATAGGTGCGGAGAAAAGCCTACAACTCTAGAAAGGAGACCAACCAAGAGAGGGTAACAATAGATGGTGCGGATGGACACACAACGTGAAAGAGGGAAGGAGACTACAGTGAGGGTTACCAGTTACCAGGGGAACTCAGGAGACAATGGGAAAGAAGACTCTGCTAAAATACACTTTATTTGAAAACACTGCCATGAGGCTGGGGAGAAGGCTCAAAAGAAAGCATAGTGCTTTCATAGGGAACATGAGTGTGGTTCCCAGCAGCCATATTGTGCCATGTACAATGGCCTGTAACTGCATGTCCAAAAAATCAGTGCTGTCTTCTGGCCTACCTTCACTTAAGTGCACATACCCACATAAGACATATATACATAAACACCAGTTTTAAAGCTGGGTATAGTGGCTCATACCTTTAATTCCTGTAGAGGAAGGTGGATCTCTGAGTTTGAGGCCAGTCTGGTCTACAGAGTTCGAGGACAGCCAAGGAAACCCTGTCTCAAAATATAAAAGGGGGAAAAAAAAACAAAAATCAGAATTAGACAAAAAGAAAATAGTTTTAACAACAGTCTCATTTTAAACAAAAAAATTGATGTTTTAGTCTTCATTGTCTTACCACCAAGTAAATAGAGCATTGTCCTTGCTTGGTTTTGTTGTTATTTGAGACAGTGTTTCACTTTCTAGCTCTGACTAGCCTGGAACTTGATATGTAGACCAGGCTGGTATGGAACTAACAGAGATCCCCTTTTCTGTTTTTGTTGATTTGTTTGTTTATGGGTTATTATTGCAGTTCTAAAACATGGCTTAGATGTCAGACAGATCAAAATTAAGTCTTAGGGTATCTCGCTGGCCAAGCTACTCTGTGTTTAAGCATTGATTTTTATCCTAGAAAATGGATTTCCCTTCACAGGAATTTGGTGGAGATACTAGTGCCTAGCATCTAGCAACAGAGATTTCAGCTCAGCAAATGTGTGGTGCTGTATACCCAAGATAGGAAGCGCAGGCGTTCAGGATCACCCCAGCTACATGGGGGCTTAAGGACAGCTGGTCTCCAAGACTCCTAGGAAGAGTGTGTATACAAGTACTGGAAGATGCTTTGGTTGTATTTTGCCAAATTTAAGATTTGTAGGATTATAAGTAAGATGGAGGATGTACTGAGACTTTGATAGGCTAGTAAATCTTTTGTTTTTACAGGCCTCTACAGAAACCAGCTCCAAGAGAAGAGTCTGTGAATTCAGTAAGCTGTTTTTGAAGTTATGCTTTGAAAAAAAAAAAGTGTTTTTCTGAATAGTTTTCTTTTAAATAGTATTCTCATGGTTCCTTCTTTTTGTTTTAATAGAATGACAGTAAATCACAGAGCCGAAGACATTTGTCAGCCAAGGAGAGAAGGTAAAGGTGTTACATAACCTAGTCATGGTTTAAAAATTGACAGCTGGTGATGAGATGACTCAGTGATAAAAATGCTTGCTGTACGAGCCTGGGAACCCAAGTTCACTCCCCAGCTCCTATAACAGTAGAAAAGGACTCCTGAAAGTTGTCCTCTGACCTCCACATGTGTGCCATATAGCATATGTTTACACATCATAAACACAGAATAATAAATAATAAATCTAAGCTTTAAAATCATTTAGGTAACACATATTTGACTATTTTGAATATTCCTTTAATCACCAAGATTATTTGTTTGTCTGTTTGTTTTTTACTTTTGATTTTTTTGAGACAGGTTCTCTGTGACATCCCTGGATGTCCTGGAACATACTTTGTAGACCAGACTAGCCTCAAACTCATTAAAGGCGTGTGCCACCACCACCTGTCTATTACCAAGATTTTTTTAAAAGATTTATTTATTTAATATATGTGAGTATTCTATCTGCTTGTACAATTGCATGCCAGAAGAGGGCATCGGATCCCATTACAGATGGTTGTGAGCCACCAACCATATGGTTGCTGGCAATTCAACTCAGGACCTCTGAAGAGCAGCCAGTGCTCTTAACCACTGAGCCATCTCTCCAGTCGCTACCAAGATTCTTTATGTCCAACCCTAAAATGTGTGTGTGTTTTTTTTTTATTTAAGGCTCATTTGTGATAGGTGAGATAGATAAGTAAGATAGACCTTTTATTATGTAAACATGTAACGTAATTAAAGGACTGTATGACTATAGAGCATATAAAGCACTTGATTATTTAAATTTTTTTTTTAAAGATTTGTTTTATGGGGCTGGAGAGATGACTCAGTGGTTAAGAGCACTGACTGTTCTTCCAGAGGTCCTGAGTTCAGTTCCAACCACATGGTGGCTCACAGCCATCTGTAATGGGATCCAATGTCCTCTTCTGGTGTGTCTGAAGACAGGTACAGTGTACTCACATAAAATAAATATTCTTTTTTATAAAAAAAGGAATTAAAAGATTTCTCTTATTTTTATGTATGCACGGATCTTGTCTGAATATCTGTATGTACCACATTTGTGTTTGATGTCCTCAGAGGCCAGACGAAGGCCTCTTCTAGAACTCAGGTTATAGGTGGCTCTGAGCCACTGTGGGATGCCAGGAATTGAACGTGGATTTTCTTGAAGAGCAGCCAGTGCTCTTTTCCTCTGAGCTATCACTCTAGTCCTACCACATGATTATTAAAGGACCAAGAATAACACTCATCTTGTAAAAAATTTCAATTCTTCATTTATAGTAGTTGTGAAAATTAATGAATTTTATTTTATGTGCATTGGTGTTTTAACTGCACGTTTGTCTGTGTGAGGGTGTCACATCTCTTGGATTGGCGTTATAGACAGATGGGTGCTGGGAATTGAACCTGGGTCCTCTGGAAGAGTAGTCAGTGTTTTTAACTGCTGAGCCATCTCTCCAGCCCCCTTGATCTTATCTCCCTTTTCCCTTCTACATGCTCTTGACCTTTTATTTTCTCCCTCTTTAATTCTAAGATATTAATAAGAATAAATAAATTGAAATTAATTAGGAGATTTTCATATAAAACAAAAAAAGCCTAGGGACTGGGACGATGGCTCAAATGAGTGAAGTATTTGTTGTGTAAGTATGGGAACCTGAGTTCAGACTCCTAGTATCCATGTACAAAGCTAAGCACAGCAGTGAGCATAGCTGCTGTCTCAGCACTTGGAGAAAAAAACCCAGGATTCTTGGTTTTTGCTGGCCGGCCAGCCTAGTCAGAAATCAAACAGACACAGCAAACTCTTTGTTCAGTGTGAGATTCTGTCTCAAGAGGATAAGATAAAGTTTAATAGAACAGAGCACACAACATCATCCTCTGGGCTCTGCATGCACACACATAAGAAATATACCTTACATATTTTAGCAGTTAGGTACATGAGGGCAAAAGAAAGACTCCAAGGAGAATTAACATTACAATGATGACAAAAAAGTTTGGATGTAAAATGTATGTATGATGTTTTGGAGAAATAATTAGACTTGATGTGAGAGAAAAAGAAAATATGTTGTCGGGCTGGTGAGATGGCTCAGTGGTTAAGAGCACTGACTGCTCTTCCAGAGGTCATGAGTTCAAATCCCAGCAACCACATGGTGGCTCACAACCATCTGTAATGATATCTGATACCCTCTTGTGGGGTGTCTGAAGACAGCTACAGTGTACTTACATATAATAAATAAATAAAAATTTAAAAAAAAAAAAAGCTCTTTAAAAAAAAAAAAAAAGAAAATATGTTGTCAAATCATAGATGTTTAGATTAGAAGGAAATTTAAAATAAAAGTAAGGGAACCTGGAATGACTTAAGTGTTGGGGAACTTTACAATTAAGGTCCTAGTCCCCCATGACAGGGTGACTGTCTGAACCCTGCACAAAATGAGGGACTCCCTTTCTCAGTGGGGCTTCCTGTCTCTGTCTCTTTGTCTAGAGACTATCTCTAAACAGAGGTTGGTGGCCTTGTCTGAAAGTGACTTTGTACAGAGCTGTCTGTAAGGCTGCATAATTTAGCCTAGATAAGGAAACAGGGCAGATTAACAGATAAATCTGGGAAAGGGAGGTTATAAGGGATACAGAGGAAATCTGAGAGGCAATGAGGACCTGGACTAAGACAGTAGCACTGAGATAGAAAGATGCCAGAGCAGCAGAATGTACCCTTCTTCCTTAGTGGGTTTGTATTTGGAAACATCTATTCCACTAACCAATGTCCAAGATGTGGCAAAGTCATGCTGATTGAATACTGCAAATCTCAGTGTTTACACATCAGGGTTGTTAGTTGAATAAATGAATTTGGGGTTGAGGAAGGATAAGCTAAGGTAATATTTTTGAGTCTGGATGACAGAATGAAACATCTTTGAAAGATCTTCAGGTCTTTCTCCCATGGTTATTTGAGCCTCTGTATACAGTGCTTTGGTGATTATCAAGCTAAGGAGAGGCCGCCACACACTATACATCTTCCCTTCTCCTTTTACAGTTTTTAGGGCACATTTGACATTCTTAAAATTTGATATTTCTGCTTGATTTGTATGTAGAGAAATGAAAAAGAAAAAGCTCCCATGTGATTCAGGGGATTTAGAAGTGACAGAAGAAAAGGACAAAGAAAAGGAAAGTGCTATGCACTCTGAAGCTTACCAGAACACAAGCAAGACCGTGGCAGCTGGACAGCCAATGAAGAGAGGGCAGAAGGTAGGAAATCTGCGTCTACGTGATCTGTTAGTTCAGTATAGCTCACAAGCAAAGTTAAGGGGCTCCTCTTGGTTTTGTAAAGTTTAAAGGTGAAATAGAAAGGGCTGACTGCTCTTCCAGAGGACCGAGCTTCAGTCCCAGCTAACAACTCTTACCTTAGTCCCACAAAATCCAGTATGCTTTTCTGGTCTCTGTGTGGCACCAGGAATGTGAGTGGTACATAGATACATGTGCAGGCGGAACACATACACAGAATGATACAAAATAATTTTTAAGTAATAAAGAATATGTACAAGGACTTTTTTTTTTTTTTTAAATTCTGTGACTGAAAATTAGCTGGAAAGGTAAGAGTGTTCCAGACGGTGTTCGTCTGGAAAGGGTTTCCAACTATACACACAAACTTCTGATGCTAATTGTTGCTAAGATCTTAAGTACCACAGCACTGAAGTAGTAGAGCACGCCTTCTTTGCTGATGCTAGACTGAGATTTGAAAGTTGGACAAGGCAGTCGTTGTGAGGTGGCTTTCATGGTCTCACTGTGGCAGGACCATTTGCTTCAGACGGGGGGGGGGGGGGAGCAGGAGACAGGAGAGCCATGTGTCAACAACAACACGGGTTACCTGTGAGATCACTTAGACAAGCCTGCTCAGTCCCCACCATTCTTGCACAGAGGCCCAAGAAGGGAAGGCTCATAGACAGTGGGAGAAGGGCAGTGAGCCAGACTTTTATTTAAAGACACTTAAAAAAAAGTTGTGTTGCTTTCCCCTTACTTGTATTTATGTCTTCTGTCCCATTGTGGCAAATTCCTTTAGGATGAGGGCTATGGCATACCCATCTTCCTGTGTTCCATATTGTTCTTTATAATGCTTGGGACCTTGTTCAAAAGCTTATTTGATAGAATGAAAGAGGCATTTATTTTAAAAATAGTCTTTACTGATTTTTTTTTTCAAATCTTCTGATTTCAGAGTAAAATGAAAAAAATGAAGGAAAAATACAAAGACCAAGATGATGAAGATCGTGAACTTATTATGAAATTGTTGGCAGTGAGTAACATCTAAAATCATTTCTCTGACTTTTTAGTGGCTTCTAGGCTATGAGAAACATTGAAAGCCTTAGCAGTATTTGGGCTAGTGAGATGCCTCTATGGGTAAAGACACCTCACCAAGCCTGAACTCAGTTCCTAACTCCTGCATGTAAGCTCCACGTGTATGCTACAGCATATGTACCCCTACACTACACTCACACATACACAAATATAAGGAAAATAAAAGCTTAGATTCACAACATAAAAGTAAAATTATTTAAAGACCTTAGTACTAATAATTACATTGACTTTTCTCTCCCCCCCCCCCCCCGCCATGAATTGAAAGTCTGCAGGTTCAAACAAAGAAGAAAAGGGGAAGAAAGGAAAAAAAGGAAAAACAAAAGATGAACCTGTGAAGAAACCCCCCCAGAAACCCAGAGGTGGACAGCGGGTTCTAGATGTTGTTAAAGAAACTCCATCCCTTCAGGTTTTAGCTCACGACTTACAAGACTTAGCTGTAGATGAGCCACATGATGACAAGGTAAGTGTCCCAGCTGGGGTGACCAGGGCCTGGAACTGACAAGGCTGGTCCATGGTATGTCACAGTCCTCACCGTAGAAACACAGCCTCAAAGACTACAATTCGTTTCATAAGAATGTGGAGTGATAATCTTCTTAGAAGCCTTTGGGAAATTAGCGTGGGTCTAAAGAGATGGCTTTCTGTAAAGTGCTCCAGAGAGCCTGAGTCCTAGCCCTGGAACTGGTGTAATTTATGTGCTTATGATCCTGGGCCTTTGGGGGGCGGGGGAGAAGGACATGGAACAGACCCCACTCAGCAAGCTCTAAGCCAATAAGAGATCTTTTCTTAAAGTGGATGGTGTTCCTGGAGATGACATCTACAATTGCCCTCTGACCTCCACGGGTGTATAGGCAGAAGTATATGTACACATAGCACCCATGAAATAAAAGTTGTATGGAAGAGAATTTACATGATTCCTGTGTAACTCAGTTTAATAAGAAATAATTGGGCTTATTTTGAGTAGAAAATAAAGTTTTACTTCTGTAAGCTTTTCTTTAGGATTATAAACTTTATTGTGTTACATAATATTAAAAAATAATTTGTCAGGAGTTAAGTCTCAGTTATAGAAGTTAATTTTCTCTAGCTGAGGTAGTTAATTGCTTTATCAATTTGTTTAAAAGGCAGTTAAGTATATATTAGTGCACGGACAGATAACAAAGAAATGTGTATGAGACTGACAGGTGTGGTAATCACTGGAATCCCAGCACAATCAGCTATGTTACTTTACTTTTAGTTGAATAATTCAAGTTCAGTTTAGTGAGATGTTTACAGGGATTTCTTGACACTATTTTCCCCTCTACTGAACAGTGTTGTTAATGGTTCTAAATTTCATTTTGGTTCACAAGTTTTTATATATACTATTTCCGTATCTGTAGTTATCTATAAACTTTAGGCTCAAAAATATCCAGCCAGGCGGTGGTGGCGCACGCCTTTAATCCCAGCACTTGGGAGGCAGAGGTAGGCGGATTTCTGAGTTCGAGGCCAGCCTGGTCTACAGAGTGAGTTCCAGGACAGCCAGGGCTACACAGAGAAACCCTGTCTCGAAAAGACCAAAACCAAATATATATATATATATATATATATCCATACCAGGTATGGTGGCAGCACTTGGAAGGCCAAAGCAGAAGGAGCACAAGTTTAAGACTAGCGCGTGATATGTAGCAAGTCGTGGAGAGGGAAGATTCCTAAGAGAAATTATTAATCTTTTGTGGGTATGGATTATGGTCTAGCCCAGTGTGATACTATTAAGAACTGGAACTTTTAAGAAGGGAATTAATGCTCTTATAAGAGATTAAAGGAGTCTCTCAGATGAAGGCCTGTCATCAAAGACAGTTTTAATTGAGTCTTGTGTAGCACAGAGTTGCTTTTGTAGAGTAAGGTCCTCCTGCCTCTACCTCTCTGGTGCTCGGATTACACTGGCTACCACATAAGGTATCATTTCGAGGCACTTCTTGACAAAACCTACTGCTGTCCTGATCTTGGACTTTTATCCTGCAGAACTACTAGATACAAATTTATTATTTAAAAAATTGTGCACTCTAAAGTCCTTAAAAGTCTAAAGAGCCTAAAGCCTAAACAGGCTGAGACTAGTTTGTCTCCAAATAGGTACAGTGCATATAACATAAATACACAGAATTAAGATTATCTCAATATTTGAAGGTTATCTTAAAGTTGCTGGTAAAACTCCTTTTGAAGTCCTTTTTATAAGAATTACTTTTTTCTTTGCAAACATTTAGCTAAGTTGTCATTTCAGGTTGTCTCTACAACTTACACTGTTTCAGCAATATACCTTAAGTAAAAGGCTTTGTCACTGGCTAAAAACACTATTTTTCTCTTTCAGTGGCAATGCTTTCTAAAATATTAAATGCATATATACTAATAGACTTGTAGTCTTGAATTTTTGTTATACAACAGCCTTATTGTATCTTTTTTTTCTGCTTGTGGCTTATTGATACAGACTTTTATAGCTGACTTTAATTTTTGTTTTTGAAACTAGGAAGAACATGATCTGGACCAGCAGGGAAATGAGGTAGGATTTGAGTAAGGCTTCTATCACATTTCATTGTAATCTTTGCCCAACATATCTACTACTACTCAAAACTGAAAAGACAACTGCAGGCTCTGCAGCCACTGTCTGGGATGAGGTATCATCTGTGCTAGATATAACTGTGTAAGTCTCAAACTAGTCTTTTGGATTTGTTGTTTACGTGTTTGCTAGGGTCTCAGTGTGTAGTCTTGGCCAGGCTGGAGCTTGCCTCCATTTGTCTCCTGAGAGCTGGGTTTAAAGGTGTGCCCCACCATACCTAGCCTGAAAATACTCTTTATTCCTCCCCTTCCTCTGTGCTTCAATATTCTTATTATTATGGGGATAATTATCACCATTAGGACAGTTTTGAGACTCTGTAAATTACTTAAAAGCTCAACATCAAAGCATTTTGCCCTTGTAGATAGCCTACAAATGAGAACTAGTCTAAGGAGTTCTGAAATTTTTCCTTAAGAACAGAGCACCTCCTGCCCTCTATGTTGGGCCACTGAAAACCAGTAATAGCTATAGCTTTAGACTTGGTATCCTCTTCTGGTATGTATATGCTTGTGTACACACACACACACACACACACACACACACACACACACACACCAAGTAGAAGTAGACTTCTCAACTTTGGCACTGTTAACATTTTGGAAAGTATGATCTTTTGTTGCAAGGCCTAAAATATTATGAACTAATAATACCTGTTGCCTAACCCACTAGATGTCACTCCTTTCTTTCTGAAAGCCAAAACGTTTATGCACCAGTCTCATATAGCGGGATGCAAAATCCCTGGTCTAGCCAAAGTTGGTAGTACATGCCTTTAATCCCCATATATGGGAGGCAGAGGCAGATGGATCTCTGAATTAATGCCGGGTTGGTCTACAAAGTCATTCCAGGACATCAAGAGCTACACAATGAGATTCTATTTTGTCTTACAAGATAGCTCAGTCTATAAAGTGCTCCCCTTGGACGCATTAGGACCTGAACTCAATCCCAGCACCCACATGAAAAACCAAGCAAGGCAGCATGTCCCTGCAGTCCTGCCACGAAGGAAGTAGAAACAAGGCTCTGGAGCTTGCTCCCCAGTCTCTGAGCTCTAGGTTCAGTGAAAGACTGTTAAATTATTAGAGGTTAGTAGAGGCTTCCACACACCAGAGAGAAAAATCACTGGTCTGGCCCAAGTATAAGTTGTTTCCTTACAATGGACTTAAGCTCCTCGCAGTTATTAGTTCTGTGTATCATTTTCATCCACAGTCGCTCTCCTGTGCAGTTTAGCTGCAAGTCCAATTTGTCTTCCTCCCTCTCTAAAGCAAATTAAATGGTATGTTGAAAACTATTCCCATTGTTATAAGTTGTAAAGATTATGTACTGAAACATTTCAGTCCTCTGGAACTGTAAGCAGAATTTGGGTACTGTCGTCAGATTGTATGTCTGTCAGAAAAGGCTAAACATGTACTCAGATACTAATTTGTTGTTTTAGATCTTGCCTTTATGACGGTGTGAGCTGAACAGACTTTGCAGTTAGGCAAGGGCTCTACTTCTCAATAACACTCCTCCTCCAGCATTTACTGTTTTAAAGTTTGGCATAAATTCCTTTTATAACTTTTTTTATTTTTCTCCTTTAGGAAACTCTATTTGACTCTTTGACAGGGCAGCCACATCCTGAAGATATACTAATGTTTGCTATTCCAATATGTGCCCCTTACACCATCATGACAAACTATAAGTAAGTCACTATTGTTGCATTCATAATCACTGCCAAGTAGCTTTAGGAATCTTTGGTTTCCATGCAGTAACTCGTACAATATCTTTTTTTTTTTTTTAAGATACAAAGTGAAACTTACTCCTGGAGTTCAGAAAAAGGGAAAAGGTAATTTAGGGGTTTTTTTTGTTTGTTTGTTTTTTGCTTTTTTTTTTTTTGTCATTTTTAAATAGTTTAGTGACTGAACCAGAAGTACATTCCTCTGTGCTCTACTTACAGCTGCAAAGACAGCCTTGAATAGTTTCATGCACTCCAAAGAAGCTACAGCAAGAGAAAAAGACTTATTCCGAAGTGTGAAGGTAAAGTTCCCTTTGGCTCTGGTGACTTAGTGGTATGATCAAGCTCTTTTCTTGACACGTGCTGTCTTACTAGGAACCCTAAGTAGGTCTACTTGGCAAAAGTTGTAAGTGCCTTTCTTCTGACAGTAGAGTACACATTAATTACCCTAAATAGGATATGATCCTATTAAGTACTTTTTTTGTTTTTATTTTAGGACACAGATTTATCAAGAAACATTCCTGGAAAAGTGAAAGTGTCTGCACCTAATCTTCTGCATGTAAAAAGAAAATAGCTGGAATGAAATCCTGAACACTGAACAGCCAGTTTTGTAGCCTTTGGAAGTTCAAAGATGCAGACAACATGTTAACAGAACTTCCACTTTACAAATGAACATACTGCCTTGCTATATCACCAAAAGGACTTAAGATTTTTTTCCCAAGTTTTATATATGTATAAAATATTATGATAGTATTTCCTAAAATATTTGTGAAAACTTAATGATACACATCTGTAATTGTATTGTTCTACATTTTATTGAAATTCTTGAGGTTTCATTTCATGATGTAAAGACCCTGAAATAGCTCAAGTGCATAAACTACTGACGTAGTGGTCTACTGTATATAACATCTAATACATAGTACAGCCAGTCACAAGAGGTTTTGTTTGGTTAGTGGAGCAATTAAACATTTAAGGTTTGTGTCTTGAACACTTTGCCAAATTTTACATCAAATGCAAAAAAAAAAAAAAAAAAAACACAAGAAAATGACAATAGTTTCTGTGCATTCATATATATATATATATATATACCACCTTCCTCTTGTAATGTCTCAGCTGTTTGCCATTTTCTCCCCCATCCCTGCCCCCAGCAGCTATCAAATAGTTAAAAATGTCTTATGGTGGTTTTGGTTTTTTCAAGTCGGAGTTTCTCTGTAGTTGTGGATGTCCTGGAACTCACTCTGTAGACCAAACTGGCCTTGAATTCAAGAGATCTGCCTGCCTCTCTGCCTCCCGAGTGCTGGAATTAAAGGCATCCATCACCACCACCAGGCTCAAGTGTCTTGGCCTATAATGACAGAAGTGCATTTTGTTGCTGGGTGGTGGTGGCAGCATCGCGGAGGCAGAGGTAGGTAGATCTGAGTTTGAGCTAAGGACAGCAAAGGCTACAGAGAGAAACCCAGTCTTGGGCGGGAAAAATCGAAAGTGCATATTTTTTTTTAGGGTTATCACTAAAGATTGCTAGACCAGTATTCTTCTGGCTCCTATTAGAATATAGAATGAAGCCATACATTATCTCTCCCTTCATGAGGTATAAACTGCCACTTTTTAATTAACTGGCTAGTAACCATGATCACCACATGTCCCAGGACAACACCAATACATTAAGATTGAAGTAGTACATGAATTGCAGCTTGGGCTGTGGAAGTCTCACTGCCCGTGCCAGCAGACACACCCACCCGGCTGGGACAGCACACTTTCAGTTCTAGTGCTTGAGAGGCGGAAGCTAGAGGACACTGATTAAAGTTCAGCCTTGGATACATAAGCTTAAAGGCTAAAGATGGAGCATCTTCACATTTCTACAGATACATTACATCCAGATTATCAAAAGATAGATGTAAAAAGTGTTATACCCATTCTGGGTATAAAAAGTCAATGCAGGGGCTGGAGAGATGGCTCAGCGGTTAAGAGCACTGGCTGTTCTTCCACAGGACCCAGGTTCAGTTGTCAGCACCCACATTGCAGCTTACAACTGTCTGTAACTCCAGTTCCAGGGAATCCAACACCCTCATGCATGCAAGAAAACACCATTCCGTATACATGAAATAAATGAATCGTTTAAAAAAAAAAAAGCCAACACAGTAATTTTTTTTTAACTTTAGACAAGTAATGATGTTAAATACATTTATTGTAAACTTTAGACACAAAAATAGGTTCTCTAGGCCATTCACATGCACATAAAACCCAGAAAGCTGCAAACTACAACAACGCATATAATTATACAAAGGATGACACTGTGTGACAAATACAGGGTTGCTTTCCATGCAAGTAGACCAGAAGTATTATCTACAAAGCCTTATGATCCAGAAGTGTTGTTACTACCAAACCTCTGATTAACACTGTGAAGTAAGTGTTTTGGAAGGCAGCTCCACGAGTTGGCTAGCATCTCTTTAAAGCAAATGACTGCTTCTAAGCTTAGCCTAAAAGTAGACAAGGAAAGTGAAAATAATTTTACTAAATACATTAACTTGAATGAAGACTCATTATTGCCTTTAAACAATCATATACCTGGTGCCAAATACCTGGTAAGAACTTACCGTACAAGAGATTTTGGTTGAACTGAAAATATAAGTACTTCATTACTGTGTGCCTGAAAAAAACAAAGGAACAGGTAAGATTGCAAGTGCTGAAAGCAGGCTGGTGTGGTACACTACTGTAACCACAGTGCTAGGAAGCAAAGGCAGAACGGGGCAAGAGCTCAGCAGTGAAGCGCTACCTAGCGTGCATGGGTCTTATGCTGAGGACTAAGCTATGCAGAAAAAGAGGGTCTGGAGAGAGATGGATCAGCTGTTAAGAGAAGGGGCCACTCTTCCAAAGGTCCTGAGTTCAGTTCCAGCATCCAGTTGGGGCTGTTCACAATCACCTGTAACCTCGCTCTAGGGGATCTGATACCCTCTTTTGGTCTCCATGAGAACTGTATGCATATGGTACACAGACATACATGAAAGCAAAAGACCTATCACATGAAGGAGTTTGGTTTTTTTCTTTGTTTTTAATTTAAAACAAGCTGAGCTGGAAAGATGGCACAGAGGTTAAAGAGCACTGACTGCTCTTCCAGAGGTCATCCTGAGTTCAATTCCCAGTAACCACATGGTGGCTCACAACTATAATTTGTTGTGATGCCCTCTTCTGGTGTGTCTTAAGAAAACCACAGTATACTCACATACGTTAAATAAACAAATCTTTTTTAAAAAGCCAAGTGGTGGTAATGCATGCCTAAAGGAGGCAGAAGCAGGCAGATCTCTGAGTTCAAAGCCAGCCTGGTCTACAGAGTGAGTTCCAAGAGAGCCAGGGCTACAGAGAGATTAGATCCCCAAGACCCACATAATGGACAGAATTAACTATACTGTCTTCATCCCATTGGACATTCATGTATGCCTACACACACAAAATGTTATTTTTCAAAAAATATGTTCAGTAGTAGTGAAGATGTACTTACAGCTCTATGATGAACCAGCAGATTGTTGGCACAACCACCAAAAACAATGACTTCTCCTTCATCACTTGCACAAGCTGTATGCCATAATCTGCATGGAAAACAAAATCCTGAGCTCAGTGTAGCCGATCGCTTTAAACACATTGTAAAGCTGGTGACAGACTAGAGACTTCAAGGAAGTTCGGACCAAATACGGTAAGAAATCCAATTCTATGGAAAAGCAGCTTTTTTTTTAAGGCTGGCCTTGGTGGTGCTTCAATCCCAGCACTCTGGAGGCAGAGGCAGGTGCATCTCAGGGAATTCCAGGCCAACCTGGTCTACAGATGTTCCAGGCCAGTGAGGGCTACATATGAGGTTTTCTTTCTTTCTCTTTTTTTTAAAGATTTATTTATTTATTTATTTATTTTATTTATTTATTTTTTTTTATTTTTTATTTTTTTTGGTTTTTTGAGACAGGGTTTCTCTGTGTAGCCCTGGCTATCCTGGAACTCACTCTGTAGACCAGGCTGGCCTCGAACTCAGAAATCCACCTGCCTCTGCCTCCCAAGTGCTGGGATTAAAGGCGTGCGCCACCACCGCCCGGCCAGATTTATTTATTTTATGTATATGAGTGCTCTATCTTTGGACATACCAGAAGAGGGAATCAGGTTCAATTACAGATGGTTGTAAGCCCCCATAATAAGGTACTTTTAACCACACAATCTAGGTCTTTGTTAGCAATTAAAAAATAAAAAATCTTATGGGGGCTAAGGAGTGGCAAGGTGAGTTGGCCTCACACAGTGTCTGAAAACACTGAAAATTCCAAAGCTCTCTAAGCTGGAAAGTTGTATGGAAAGGTCATTTCTGCCAGTGTCTTAGCAGCATGAGTGTACTTGGGCTAGAGGCCTGAATGAAAAAATTGAGGTTGGAATATTTAAATTCACTGTAAATACCAATGCTAAGTACGCACCTGCCTGTAGCGATTTCTTTTGAGATTAAGGAGACTCTGTTTAAAAAAGGAAAAAACAAAAACAACAAAACACCTCCAACTTTTTAGTGTCTTGTGTAGCCCAGAGCTGGCCTTGAGCTGATCCTCCTGCTTCTGGCTTCTAAGGGCTGGGATTACAGGTATGCGCCTCCTTACCTGGCCCCCTACTCCCACATGCCTTTGAGAAGTTTGACTTATTCTTCCTTGAATAATGCTGCTATAAAATAATGAGTGATTCTTGGTTTGACCCCCCCCCCATCTACATTCTTAAAATTTTAAAGCATTACCAGTGTTATCCATATAAATAATGGGAAAGCAAACTTCAGACACTTGGTCAATGCTAGTTGGTTTCCTTTTTGGAAGTATGATGTTAAACCTTAATATCAACAAGACTTTTCTAAGAATGTTGGATAAAATCCAGCCAAAGCATCCTCAGCTCTTAACAGTCCAAGAAATTATACCTTTCATGTAGCTCATACCTTGGTTTTTCAACATAAGGATGATTAAACTGAATCCATTCATTTTTACTGATGCAGTAAGTCCAGGCATCACCTGATTAAACCAAAGAAAAGGTCATGAAGTATGTTCCTCCTGTCCGTGTGGTACTTAAGGATACACTCTAGCAGGAACTGCAGTGAGTCGAATCCTATTCCCAGTCCCTGTGACTAAGGAAGTTAGGTGCTTCACATGCAGGTTTCAGCAGGGATGTTAAGTGCTCCAAGTCATTTTTTTTTTTCAGGTAAAATGTATTTAGGACATAATACATGCAATTATAAGATGTTACAGATCAAAATTAATAAATCATCCTGAAAGGATACAGCTAGGATTGAATTTCAGTGAGTAGTATACATATTTAAAGGACTCACTTAGTGGCTGTTTTTCAGTGGTAAATCCTCCAAAGAGAAAAAGATGGTCTGAAGAGACTGGTGTCAGTGAATGCCAGGATCTGCCAATGGGGCATACACCTTGTGGAATTCTAAAAATAATAAATAGCTGAGTTATAATATCTGTTTAGAGTCTGGAGGATAACTCAGTCCATAAAGTACTTGAGAACCCAAGTTCTACCCCCCCCCCCCCCCAGAACCCACACATTATTTAAAAGGGGCTGGGGGGTAGGTCTGACGCATGTTTGGTCTCACCGCTGGGAGGTGAGCCCCTAGAGTGTGCTGGCCTAGCCTACTAGGCAAATACCAGGCCAGGAGAGACCATGTCTCAAAAGGAAAAAGAGATCCACACTCAGAATCCCAGCACTTGGGAGGTTACTGAGGTAGAAGATTTCCACAAGTTTGAGGAAAGCACTAGATACTAAGTTAACTTGTACTGCACTGTAAGATCCTGTCACAAGAACAAAGAAAGCACCCTAAAATAAAAAATGTGGACAGCACTGAGTATACCTGAGACTATACTAAGCCTCCACATGCACACATAATCAACCTTATACATGAGATCTATGTTTAAAGTAGACACAGAGAGAAACGCTGAGGACTTCTTTAAAAATATATATAGGTTATCCGACAAAGAACACTTGACGAGGCTTCCTGGGTCTCCGAGGTGGCACAGCTGGGAAAGTGTTTGCCATAAAAGCATGCGGGCCATTTGGATCCTCAGCACCCACTTAAGTAACAAGAGGACATGGAGCCCACCTGTCACTGCATGCAGTGCCACTCAGTGGTTCTTAGAAAGCCACGATGAGCTCCTCCAAGCAAACTGGCTAGCGACCATAGTGGGGAGCTCTGTGTTCAGTTGAGAGATCCCTTTCTCAGTGATACAGTAGACAATGTCTGAAGACCCTCCCAATGTTAGCTTTGGACCTACACACAACATGCACCCACACACATCTTACATCCAGACACATGCCAGGAAGAGAAGCCTCTCTCAGTATTAACTACATACTTTATACTGAACTATGTTCTTTGAAGGCAGAATCAACTTTAGACATTTTCTTTCAGCAAACATTGAACACATGCTGTAACAGGCATAGTTAGGGAAACTGGAAATAAAAATAAAATTCCTTCCTTAAGGACCTTAGTAATCATGTTTATGTAAATCCAAAGTTACAGAAACTTGTATACTAATAGGGAACGGGGTTGGGAATCTGCAATGTATCTTAGATATCTAAGGTAATACCTACAGTTCATTCCACTCCCATGTATCCAGATTAAGATAGTGAAGATCATTCATTCTAGCATCCTAAAAAAGAGTAAGTAAGAGTTACCACGTGGAGCACCTAAAAGCGAGCCATTAAACCTGTTTCTATACTCACTCGGTATCTGCCACCAAACACAAAGCCCTTGTTTCCAACAGTTGCACAGGCATGGGCAGCACGAGGTGAGGGTGCCTTACCCTGTTAACAAGGGAAACAGCTTCACAGATGCGAACTTTACAAAGAGGGGAAATAGCAGTGTTTTCTGAATATCACAGAATAAGAATATGCCAGGTACTCGGGCACTAGAGAGCAACAGTGTAAAGACCTGTTGGGGTTGGTCTGGTGCTGCTATGTATTCAAATGCTAAAGACTGGCCAGAAGATCTGGTTGCCCCTGGTACGCAGATCCTTACATACACCCAGTACTGCTACGTAACTCTTGTTCCCAATTTACCACTACTGGTTAAAGTGGCTGCAGTTAATTACTGGGGAGAACAGAAGAGAGGCAGTTTCAGTCACTGGGCTGGGGGTCGTAGGTAGGGACCATGAAGAAAGAAAGGGAAGGAGAGAGGAAGAGGAGAGGAGAAGGGAGAAGGAAGAGAGAAGGTATCCATTAGACATGATGCGCCAGGAGCGCATGGCTGAAGTGAACCCTGAGGACACAGAAGCTCGGCTGGGGAATTAACAGTCTAGTGCTAGAAAAAATACATTGGGGTATTCCCCCAGTAATTGTGCCAAAGCTAAATAAATAAATCATAGTCTGAGTCTCATTCATTTGGAATTACGTTACACATAACACAATGTGTACTTTAGGATTTCTGAGACTGTTACTGAATGAGCTAGGCAGTGTGTGAGGAAAGCTGTTTAAAAATGACTGTATAGTATCTTTAAAAGGAAAAATCTCATCTTTAATTTTTCATTTAAA